CAAGTATGATGGAGGAGCTGAGACAGATCCACACTGGAGTCCAGAGAGCAGGAAGATGATGGAGGCTCTGGGGAAACTGGCTTTTGAGCAGCTGCAGAAAGGCAACCTGATCTTCTATGAGTCCGACCTGACAGAGTGTGGCATCGATATCAGAGCAGCCTCAGTGTACTCAGGAGTGTTCACACAGGTCTTTAGAGAGGAGAGAGGACTGTACCAGAACAAGGTGTTCTGTTTCGTCCATCTGAGCGTTCAGGAGTTTCTGGCTGCTCTTCATGTCCATCTGACCTTCATCAACTCTGGAGTCAACCTGCTGGCAGAAGAACCAACAACCTCCTGGCTGCCTAAAGTATTCAGACCTCAACTCACACATCTCTACCAGAGTGCTGTGAACAAGGCCTTACAGAGTCCAAACGGACACCTGGACTTGTTCCTCCGCTTCTTCCTGGGTCTTTCGCTGCAGACCAATCAGAAACTCCTACGAGGCCTGCTGACACAGACAGGAAGTGGCTCAGAGACCAATCAGGAAACAGTCCAGTACATCAAGAAGAAGATAGATGAGGATCTGTCTGCAGAGAGAAGCATCAACCTGTTCCACTGTCTGAATGAACTGAATGATCGTTCTCTAGTGGAGCAGATCCAACAGTCCCTGAGATCAGGAAGTCTCTCCACAGATAATCTGTCTCCTGCTCATTGGTCAGCTCTGGGCTTCATCTTACTGTCATCAGGGGAAGATTTGGACGTGTTTGACCTGAAGAGATACTCTGCTTCAGAGGAGGCTCTTCTGAGGCTGCTGCCAGTGGTCAAAGCTTCCAACAAAGCTCTGTGAGTACAGAGATCATTTGATTTAGTGAATCAGTTATTAACACACTGCTGTCTTCTGAATAACTGTTGTCCTCATCGTCTCTTCAGGCTGAGTGTCTGTAACCTGTCAGAGAGAAGCTGTGCAGCTCTGTCCTCAGTCCTCAGCTCCCAGTCCTCTAGTCTGAGAGATCTGGACCTGAGTAACAACGACCTGCAGGATTCAGGAGTGAAGCTGCTTTCTGCTGGACTGGAGAGTCCACACTGTGAACTGAAGACTCTCAGGTCAGAGACCAGAACAGTTTGACTCAGCCAACAATTAAAGTCAATACTAACACCAGCCATGCTGCTGTGGTGTGGGAATACCATCATCAAAAACATAATTGAAGTGAAAAGCGACACAATATATCTTTCACAATTCACAAAATAGTTATTGGCAGAAACTTCTTTAAAGATTTGGGGGGACCAAACTTTTTTCCCTGAGGGCCACACACAGAACTATATAGGAAGGGCTGCGGCGCTCACTAGAGGTAAGATATATTGCCTCTTTTGGTCAGTTATAAGTTAGCAAAATCACTCAAATGTAGTTAAATTTATCTTGATACTCGAATATACTTTAAGAACAAAACAGCCTACATCTCAGCTCTCCAGAGGGGTTACTTTACATCCTTTAAAAAATAAGCATCAGATTGATTATAACAAGGGGAAATAGGAAGGGTTTGTTATGCAAATAAGTTATTGGGCTTTTTATTATCAACTAAGATTTGTTAGAAAAAGCCTATATATAGTTGTTGGAATATTGATATGAGTTGCAAACAGATGAATGTTCTTTTGAAAGTTCAGGTGTTTAACATTCTTATTGCTTGTGGGATGAAACTGTCCCTGAGTCTGGCGGTTTTAGACCTGATGCTGCGGTACCGCCTGCCAGACGGCAGCAGACATATTTAGAAACTAAAAACTCATATGTTACCCCGGGATTCCACCGGGTCCGTCTGCGCCGCGGTTTTCATCCGACCTCCTACAGCGTAAAACCCCACCGGGCGCGTTTCAGAAGCGGAGCGTCTTCCGTGCCGGCTCGCAGTTTTTGTTGATTTGGGCCTATTTCCTGGACAGGCTACTTTGTACAGACAAAGTTAATAATAATTGTAAATACTCCAGTTATAAACGACATGAATCAAAGATGTGTTGCATTCCACTTCCTGCTCGGCGCTATGCAAAGCCTGCGTCTCGCGTAAAAAATAGACCAGCCGCCAACTTTTAGCGGAGCCCAGCGCCGAGATGCTTCTGAGCCTTAAAGCTACGCGTCTGGTGGAATAATACGCAATGACTAGAGTGGTCGCGATTGGAACTGGCAATCGGGACGAAGCCCGATGGGCCGGTACTGAAGTGGGCCGGTCGGTCGATGTGAGCCGGTCGGATAAGTCACTAGCACCCCCCGTCTACAATATACTAGCGATATTTACTTGCGGTA